GTCGCGTGCGTGTATGTATGTGTGTGCGAGCGTGTGTGCGGTGTGCGTGTGTGCGTGTGTGTGTGTGTACGCTAGCGGGGCTGCATCACACCGGTATTATATATATATATATATATATATATATATCTATATATATATATATATATTGTGTGCGGTAATACCGGGTCTGTTTGTGTTTTCGTATCAATCGACTCGCGCCCGTACAGTCATTTACCGCGACTAACTGCGTTTGCTTAGTCAAGGGTAAGTTCATTGCGTTCTCGAGCGAGCGGCGCTCAACAGAGGTGGGTGCCTTCGATAATTATTTTCCAACGGTTAATGGCGCGCCGCGCCCCTATGTTTTATCAAGTCGCTTTCATCGCGTTCGAGCCTGCGGTGTGTTATACTATCGTTTATAACTGAGTTGATGACAGCGCCGCGCCGCACCGTCTGAGCGCACCCGTGATGGGCCAGGTTTTGCCGAAATATGAGGGAACCAATTTTGACGCTCAAGCAGCAGCAGATGGTTGTGAGGCTGTACATATATACGTACACGCACGCACGCACACACGCATTTTGCAGTATTATACAATGAAACGCTCTAATAGCGTAATGCCAGACCGGAAAAAGTGGGCGCTCGTGTAAGTAAGACTGATGATATCGACTTCTATTCCCATCCCCGAGTGAATCCAGTGCAACGTGCGCTTGCCGCGACACTACACACGCACTCCACACACGCAAGCACGCACGCACACACGCAAGTCTGCACGCACACAGCGCAAGTCTGCCGCCACAGAGCACGCACGAGCACTGCAAGTCACGCACCAGTACACACACGCAAGTCTGCCACGCACACACGTCAAAGCGTTACGCACGCACCCCAAGCACGCACGACACACGCAAGCTGCACGCACACACGCAAGTCTGCACGCACACGCGCAAGTCTGCACGCACACACGCAAGTCTGCACGCACACACGCAAGTCTGCACGTACACGCACATACCTCATGTCGGTCGCACATCAATGAGGGGCTCATTGTCAGAAAGAAAATTAGTCTTAACAGTAGTCTTATCATTAGCTATTGCTCGTAGATTGGACCTCTATATACTGCGTATCAAAAACTCGTTACTCGATCACGTTTCTGTGAACGGTCTATGAAAAAAACGATGTCAAAAGTAATGTTCAGACTAATTGTATTCCCCCGCGACGAAGTCGGCGGGGTTTTATACTATTTTCATGGCTCCCCAAGCCGCCGCGCCCGCGCGCCGCCGCCGCTCGGTTCCTTTCCGCTCTTCTAACTCCGCCCCTATGAACTCGCTACCAACTTGGCTGGCATAGTGTGTGGTTTATAATATATATTATTTGCTATTTTTTTTTTCTATGGTATTTTTTTTTTGTAAGTGTTGTGTGTTTATTTATTTCTTACTATTGTGGTTATCTGGTGTGGGTCTTGTGCGCGTTCATCTTGTTTGGACGAGGGAGAGGAGAGTCGAGGAGCAGAAGTCAGTACCAAAACCAGGTCAACGGCGACCTGTAATTTGACCTATCACTTATAGACTTGAATCATAATTTCCCTTCGTCTCTAAACGCAGGCCCCTAATTGAGGCCTGAGGCGCTACCAAAAACCAGGTCACTGGCGACCTTTATATTGACCTTTAACTGAACTTGCATCATATTTCCCTCCGCTCTATAACTCGCCCGAATATGACCTAGCGCTACCAAACTTAGGATATATCAACACATCTTGGGGGAGAAGGGTGTGTCGCGATACCGAAACCAGTCACTGCAACTGGAGGTAAATCAGACGCGTCAAAACAATTGACATTTGACTTGACCTTTATTAGGATTTCATCTTGCCATCTATAACATCGGCCCCTAATTGACCTGCGCGACCAAACTTGTATATTATTACACATTCGGGGAGACACGGGGATACATTAGTTTGGCCGACAAAATGCCCTTTCTAGTTTTGTTTCTGACAACGATTTATTAGAAAAATCGAAGGTCAAGACTGATGCTAAGACTAATTTTGTTTCTGACAACGGGTTATTAGAAAAAGCGAAAGTCAAGACTGATGCTAAGACAAATTTTGTTTCTGACACCGGGTTATTAGAAAAAGGGAAGGTCAAGACTGATGTTAAGACTAATTTTGTTTCTGACAACGGGCATCTGCTTCTGCGTGGATAAGATCTAGACGCTAGCTCCTGCTTGGCCGATGATGGCTGTCCGTCACGAACCGCCGCCTGTGGCGCCACTGTCGGTGTCTGTCACGAACCGCGCCGTGGCGCCACTGTCGCTGATTTCACGAACCGGCCGCTTGAATGCCCGCCACTGTCGGTGTCTGTCACGAACCGCCGCCTGTGGCTCCATTGTCAGTAATTCTCACCGCGAATCCGTCTGTTGCTGTCAACAGTGTGTCTGTACAGAGCCGATAAAGTTCGTCGTCAGCACTATAAAAATGTGATGTTTGCCCGCCCATCGTGAGTCTTCATGTCAAAAATATCAAAATTGATGTTGTACAGCGCGCAGTATGCATATAATTCGAAGGCCTACAATAATATGAGAGGTACGTTATAGACAGATCTGTCTATCTTGTACTTCTGAGAAGGCCATCTACTAACCATTTTATAGTTATGCAGTAAGCGTATATGCCGGTGTGTATATGTCTGTGTGTGTGTTGGGGGGGGGGGATTGTTTGAGTGTGTGTGTGTGCGTGCGTGCGTGGTGCGTGCGTGTGGGTGGGTGTGTTTGTGTGTGTATGTATATAATGCGCGCACGTGCGTACTTGTTTTCCGCTCTCTCCCCTCTCTCTCCTCACACACGCACACACACGCACGCACGCACGCACACGCACACACACGCACAGACACACACGCAGGCACAGACGCGGACACCGTCGCGCGTTCCCAAACACACGCATGCACTCACGCATGAATACACGCATGCACTCAGGCATGAATACACGCATGCACTCATGCATTAATACACGCATGCACTCATGCATGAATACACGCATGCACTCACGCATGAACACACGCATGCACTCACGCCTGAATACACGCATGCACGCACGCACGTGAACGCAGTGTTGCACTGGCCTAACAAGAAGCCACCCCTACCCATCCGCCCGTCACTAATGGGATTACACGGGTCCTTGTCTTGGATAAATTGCGTCACAATGGGATAGCCGTCTCTGGTGAGTTTGGCTGTTCGACCACGCTCGACTCTCTCTGATCCAAGCCATACGACATCGCTGCACGAAAAGCATGCATTTATACTGCTGGGTGGAAGCATTGATGGATGTATGGATGTATGCATGGATGGATGAATGGATGGATTGATTGGTTGATTGATTGATTGATTAATTGATGGATGGATTGTTTGATGGATTGATTGATGGATTGATTGATGGATGGATGAATGGATGGATTGATTGATTGCTCGCTTGCTTGATTGATTGATTAACTGATGGATGGATCGTTGGATTGTTTGATGGATGGATGGATGTATGAATATATGGATAGACGGACAGACGGATGGACCGACGGACAGACGGACCGACGGACGAACAGACGGATGGACAGAGAGTTGGAAGTTGCGGCTGCCTTCTGTGCGCGTGGACGATACAGCATGCTGCTGTGATGGCCGTCTCTGCGGGGTGGGGAGGGGGGTGGCCGCGCGTGTCTCGTCGTCAGGCGAGCCAGCCTCGTCTGCTGCTCAAATCTCACGCAGACGCTGTCATCATCGTTTCCGCATAACCGACAGCTCGCGCCAGACATTCGACAAAGCTTCGGGGGCAAGGGGGAGACTGTGGGCTGCGAGGGGCGAGCCACAGGTACTCGGAGCGTTTCAATAAACTCTATATTTATGTGTCCGTGCGCGGCAGCGTGCGTGCGGTGGACATGTGTGTTGCAGAGGAGCATGTGCACGGCATTTACAGGAAATTGTCGGCAATATTTACTTTGGTAGTAAATAGATTTCGTATTTGTTTAGCATTATATTTTATTGAATCGCTCCAAGTGCCTGTGGGACGAGCAGTCCACTGCAATAACCCAGAGCTAACGAAGCGAGGCAGACGACTCGACTTTAGAATTCCGACGGAGTGGGGCTTTTATATTATTTAACAGTAGCTAAACGTGATACCTGCGGGTAGGTCCTTACAACTCGACGTAGAATGTGCATGCAGTTAGCGCGCCCCGTTGACACCTATCATGCAAGCAGACTAGTGGGAGAGCCCCGGTTAAGCGTTATTTATATCACCGAGACAAGTTTAGCAAACCTCGTTCAAAGTCTGACGGCGTTGCAATAATTTAAAAATCAGATTCATTTAAATTCCACTGGAAGGATTAGATTTCCAATGTCCACTCTTTCACGTCAGATCGTGAGTGCGACACAATTCACTTGAAATGTTACGACATTCATACTTATAATATCGTAACTATTTATGATGTATCTGACAACGTGACTCAGGCTTCCAATAAGAATATTATTACCTCCGCCAAGGGGTTGGCAGGAGGTTATGTTTTCACCGGCGTGTGTTTGTTCGGCGTGTGTTTGTTGGTTTGTGGGTTTGTGTACAGCCTAACTAAAAAAGTTATGGACGGATTGTCACAATTTCCAGGATAGGTCAGAAATGGGC